ACTTTGCCACTGTCCCATCAAAATTATATTTAGTGCAAAAGGTCCACTTGCATCCAAGGATCGATTGGTCTGCTGGTGGTGGAACAAGAACCCATGTACCTTGAGCCTATAGGACAAATAATTCATCATTCATTGCGGACCACCTGTGGATGTGTTTGGCGGCTTGGGTGTATCATGTGGGGTCGGGAGGGTGTTTCAGTTGGTGAAGAAGATTGAGCTAGTTAACCGATTTCAGATGTCCCATCTTACTAAGGGTAATCATGTGGTTGGATTGAGTAGGGTTATCGGGTGGGGTGTGTTCGGTAAATGCAGAAGGTTGCCTCGGTGGTGGTATGGGTTTTTGTGGAGGGAAGGTAGCCAGTTCATCCGGGGTTCTAAATGGTGGTTGGGGAATGACATGTGGAGGTACAAGGGATTTTTTGGAGGCAATAAGGACAAGAGATAATTCAGTGAAGATGGCGTCAACTGGTATGGAAAGATGTGCTCATCAAAAGAGACATGGCGTGCAATGAAGAGTTTCCTGGTGGTGGGTTGATAGCACTTGAAGCCTTTATGATCAGCGAAATACCCAAGAAAAATACATGGTTGGAGCGAGGTGCGAGTTTATGTGGTGTATGTGAGCGTATCCAAGGATAGCCCTACATCCAAACACTTTGAGGTGGGGGTATAAAGGTTTATGCTTGTAGAGAAGTTCATAGGGAGATTTAAGGTTAGTATTTGTGGATGGCATTCGGTTGATAAGAAAGGCAGTCGCAAGGATAGTATCTACCCAAAGTGTAGGTAGGAGAGAGGCCTCAAGAGGAGAGTGCATGTGGTTTCAAAGAGGTGCAGATGTTTGCGTTCTACAACTCCATTTGTTATGGAGTGTGAGGACAAGAGAATTGATGAAGTATGCCATTGTAGTTTAAGAATGTTTGAAGAGTGGTGCTTCTGTATTCACCCACGGCATCTGATCAAAGTAAATGAATAGTGGTCTTAAATTGGGTGTGAATCATTTTAATGAATTGAAAACATTTCTGAGCAAGTTCAGATTTGTTTAGCATAGGGAACACCCAACAAAACCTTAAAAAAATCATCAACAAGAAGCAAAAAGTATTTATAACCTTAAGTAGATGGAAATGGGATAAGACATCGGAAGTTATTAAATGTAAAATTGCATATGTATGTAAAGTAGGAAACATAAAAGGTTGCCTATGATATTTGTTGCACTGCAACTATTACAAAGAGAAGTATTTATATCTATGCTTGGACTTGGTTGTCTCTTAGAGACAAGCTTTATGAAGTCTGAATGTGGATGCCTATTGTTTGTGCCAGACACCAGAGTTCTTGGTGGAGGTGGCGGGAGCTTGAATGGAAGGTCGAGTAGAAGTGAGCGGATAGAAGCCCTCAAAATTGGTTCCTCGGAGTAAAGGTAGCTTCGTCTTGGGATTAAAGGAGGTAAAGGCATTCAGATCAATGACAATAGCAACAATATTGTCATGAATCAATATATGAACAAATAATAGATTGTGTGAGAGAGATGGAACATGCTAGATTTGAGGTAGAAGAAGCTTACGGTGAGGCGTTGGAAGGATGTCCGCGCCTGTATGTGCAACTGGAACAGGTCGATCGTTACCATTGTGAGTTATTCGAAACCAGTTGTCGAAGTAAGTAGGTGTAAGTGGTTGAGGTTCAAGGTAAGATGTGCTGTAGATCTAGAGTCGAGAACCCAAGGGAAAGTAGTAGCTTGTAAAGCTTGTTTGGTAGGTGTAATCCAAATTCAACCAGTGCCGACATGTTGCCGCGGAGTGGCTAAATTTATTGCAGACTTGGCATGTGATAGAGACCCTTGGAATCCCCCATCGCGCCACCCCCCCCCCCCCCCCCCCTAAGACTGAGACGAATGCTGAGCTTGGCCCCGACCACAACTAATGGAGGTAGATGGAGCGTAAGTTGCGGTGAAAGCAAGAGGATTAGAGGGATGATCAAGTTTCTGATTATCACTGACAATGTTATCCCTTTACTCTAGAGAAAAGAGTAAAAGTCTAGATCAATGGGCTGCAGTTGAGTACGGATTGCTATCTTGATGCCTTCGTATGTAACGGGGAGCTTGTTGAGTGTGTAGAGTATGATATCCTTGCTAACTAGTTTCCCTCCGGCAATGACAATATTACCGACGAGAGTTAAATTTCAAGAATAAGTATTGTGTCATTGTCTGATTGTTCATCGAGAGAGCATTAAGGGGTTTTTCAGTTGGATGATTCTGGAGCAATTCATTGGCTGAAGTTTTTTGGGCAATGCATGCCGGATCTCAGCTGTAGTAGAGAGGTGCAACACAGAGGAGAATCTACGAGAAAACAATTGAGTAAACTGCAACAATTAAGTTTTAATCCACTAAAATCCATGAAGCATGTGGGAGATTGTCGAGCTGCAGATTTGTATTGCCTTCAGAAAACTGGGGAGGGCAAAAGGTGTTGTCATCCAAGAATCCTAAATACCCATTTGCGGTAAACAACTTGAACGCGTGTGCATTCCAAATATGATAGTTCTCAGCAGTGAGGGTTTTGGGTGAGATGTTTGAGTCAACTATAGCTAACATAAGATTTTGTGTCAATCAATCATACCCTTATGATTAACAATTCAAATGATAGAAAGTCGTTGGGAAACATATGGGTTGTGGCCGTGATCGTAATATAATAGTGTCATTTGGTGGCAACCAGCAGATCAGAGGGCTCTGCTCGTAACTGCTGTTTTGTGGAGTTTTTTGGTCAAACCACACAGACAGAGGATTCAAACCATATCATTACTGGCATGTAATTACTTTAATTATGAATATATTAATACAATTGATATGAAATTCGCTCCTTGTGAACTTAAGTTAATCAAAAGTTTGTCATCCCCGACACTATTGCGGAGAGTGGATAAATTTGTTTTTAGCTTTTAAGAGATTGAAATTTTAACTTTAGTATTTTAGTTAATTATTTTGAAAATTTTGATTTAAGAGATTGACCCCTCTAGTTGCAATCTTGATCAACACGGTTATTATCGGAGACATGAACCTTTTAAAGCTTTTAAATTTAAAGGGCGGATTTGGTAAGTTTAGACTTTAAGGATATTGATCCTGTTGGCTCATGTCTTTAAGAGAAAAATCAGACTAAATGATTTGAACTTGTAAATTCTTATTTTAGGATTTGAATGTTTATTTCAGAATTACTAGACTCGTCAACTCCAGTTCTTACAAGGAGGATGATCGAAGTAGTTGGGTGGGACTTACAATCCTGGCCTATAGACAAGGCGACCCAATTAACCCGCGCAACATTCTCGAACCCAGTATTTGAACGTTGAATAAATTTAGTTGGAGCACATGCACACATTCAATTCATGTATTAGATTTATTTTAACTAGAGAATTTGTTTACTTGACTTAATGCAATTTATATGGTTTTAGACATAAATTAAATCAAAGGGCTTAAAAGAATGCATCCCAAAAGATTTGCTTAAATCTTGAGATATTTATATTCAAACTGAATATAATCTTAAGAATAGATAAAGTTATGAAATTATTTAAACATCTTGAAAGCTGATGTGAATGACTGCATATAAGTTTCCATTTTAAGCATTTTACCATCATATGCTCATTAGCAGATGTATTACGAATCTTGTGGCAGGGAGACATATGAAGTCCTTGTTGAGTATTTAAAAAAAACGACAGCTCCAATTTGTAAAAATTTGATATTCAATTTAAATTTAGCACACCTAATTTATGATATTTCATATTTAACTTAAGATTACACAATTTGATTTTCAATAATTTAGCCCCCTCAATTTGTATGTTTCACATTTAATTTAAGCTTAGCTCCAATCAAGTTTAGCCCTAATTTGTAACATTTCACACTTAATTTACGCTTTAGCTCCAATAAAGTTTAGTCCCAATTTATAATGTTTCACATTTAATTTAATTTAACACCCCCTAAATTTATGTTTTCAAAAAAGTTAAATAAAGATTCATTTGCATTATGACATATCTTTATTTGATCATCTTCAAATATAACATAATATGAGACTTTTAACTCACAATTTGTGTTTTTCTTTATTTCTATTTCGGCATCATAAGTCTAAATAATTAAAATTTGTTAAAAACATTTGCAAATTCAAAATCAATTGAAATTTCGGTAGCCTCCCGCCGTCGTCCTCGTTTAAGAGGACTTCATCAAGGTGTCTGCCTGCCCAACTGTCTACAGGACGCGCTAGTTAGTGCCGTGAGACTGCAACCGGAAAGAATCTTCTAATCCATCGATCTATAAGACGCATGTGGTCTTTAATTTACCTGCATTAAAATAATATGGGCACAATTTCCTACACTTATGCATTTGCTTGTGATACAGAGGCTAAGCAAAATTGACGAGTTGATGCATTACTGCACAAGCCTATATCTTTCTCTTTTCTTTTTTTTTTCTTACAATACACAACACAAAGTATGAAAAAAGTAAGTGGAGAATTGGGTTCAGCTCAACTTTAGGCTCGAGCTAGCCGAACAAGATTTCTCCCTGCTTTGAGTTCAAGCGAGGCAAGGGAAAAGCACAAGGAGCTTTGGTTGGCATCGAGCTCAAGGCGGGGTGGGGCGGGGCGGGGCGGGGGGGGTGGGGGGGGGGGCTGGGGCAGGGGGGAAG